GCACCATCTTTCCACACCACTGATCTTAGGGGTGGCGTAACGGGGTGATAATGCAGTTTTAACCCTGGACAAACTCTGGGAGACACATAATCGACTGAGAACGTCCATGACAGCGAATATTTTTGTTTTTTCTCGAGGCTGGGCACTGTTGGGCCCTTCCTTGTCTAATCCTGTATTCCCCCAATTCCACCTGCTCGAGAATTCACAAGCATTGCAACGTTAGAATCCTAGGATTTCACAAGATCATAATCTAATATCAAGGTAATATCGGGACTTTTTTAAAATGCCGCGGGACGCAGGACAAATTGTTAAAAATCGGGGCGTTTGGTCACCTTACTAGTATTAAAAGGGACTTGAGTGGTTAGTGGATTCCCTTCCTAATTTTAGCCACAATCAAAGGTGTGGCCTGGGAGGGGAGTGGTCAGAAAGGACTCACAGTCTGTGTGAGATCAGACGGTGAACTGGGGCCCTCGGCCTGAGGCTGTTTCTCCTATTTTCTGAGACGTCCCCATGACATCTAGAATAGTGTTATGGGCATAATCAACATTCAACAAATATTCCTTAAGTGAGTGAATGAATAAATGAAGCCAGCCTTAAATATTTGTTTTAAAAGCAGTTTTGAGACTTTTTTTTTTTTTAGGAAAATGAATTATCTTCTCAACTCTTATCTTTCTCTCCAGCCTAATTTCTAATATGTATCCCAGTGTGCATTCAGGAGGGGGAAAAACCCCCACACCCCATTCTCAAGTTTTTACTACATTTCTTAAAAAAAAATTTTTTTTTAAATTGATTTCAGAGAGGAAGGGAAAGGGAGAGAGAGAGAAACATTAATGATGAGAGAGAAACATTGACTGACTGCCTCACCAGGGCTTGTGCCCTGACCAGGAATCAAACCATGACCTCCTGGTTCATAGGTCCATGCTCAACCCCCGAGCCACACTGTCCATTCCTTTTAAAAATCACCACCTTCCAATACCATTAATTCTACTGGCTCATTCTTTTCTTCTAAATCTAATTTAAGACATCCATAGAACCATTGCAGTGCAAGAAATTGTGACCTGTTTACTGAGTTCACTCCTCCCTCCAGACCTGAGAAGGGCAGAAGTCAGCCTTGCAAGGGGGTTTATATAAAGCTGATGAAGAACGAGGAGGAGCAAGCTGGAGCTCTGAGTCTGCGTCAGGCTCCTTTGTCCTGCCTTGTCCCTTGTCCCCCTACCTCACTGCACTCTCCATGAAGCCTAGTGCAAGCCCTCGTGTGCAGCCTAGAATTCTCCCTTTCAAAACTGTTGAAGTGTTTTACTTGTGACTTTTTAAAATATATTTTATTGATTTTTCACAGAGAGGAAGGGAAAGAAATAGAGAGCTACAATAGAAACGTCGATGAGAGAGAAACATCGACCAGCAGCCTCTTGCACACCCCTTACTGGGGATGTGCCCACAACCAAGGTACATGCCCTTGACCAGAATCAAACCTGGGACCTTTCAGTTCGCAGACCGACGCTCTACCACTGAGCCAAACCGGCTTCGGCTACTTGTGACTTTTATTGCACAGTATTAGTCACTCTTAAGTTGTTAATTATATTTTGTTATCCAACCAACTTATAAATTAAAGCAAATTTCAATATTTGAATCATGGTTATGGGTGGATATATACACTAATAAGAGAAAGATGCAAATTGATTGTACCTTCGTGACACACATCAGCCAATCAGGAGTGAGTATGCAAATAAGCTCAACAAAGATGGTGGGTTATTTTGCATATGCAGGCACCCAGTGGCCAGGGGTGGGGTGGGATGCTTGGTGTTCCACACTGCCCCAGCCACTCAGTGCTTCTGGGCAGCATGGGAAGGCAGGGCTGGAATGGAAAGAGGTGGCTCTGGGGTCAGAGCGCCGGCAGAAGACCCATTCTTGCTTGAATCTTTGTGCATCAGGTTTCTAGTGAATAATGACTAAATGCCTCCTTGACAAGTCCTCCAATTCTTTTTTCTTTTTTTTAAAAAAAAATATATATTTTATTGATTTTTTACAGAGAGGAAGGGAGAGGGATAGAGAGCTAGAAACATCAATGAGAGAAATATCGACCAGCTGCCTCCTGCACGGCCCCCACCAGGGATGTGCCTGCAACCAAGGCACATGCCCTTGACTGGAATAGAACCCAGGACCTTCCAGTCCGCAAGCCGACGCTCCATCCACTGAGCCAAACCGGTTCCGGCAAGTCCTCCAATTCTTGTCTCTGAGGGGGTATCTCCCTATCCATTTATGTACGCGTTTGTACTTATAGAAATGCATAGTTTTATTTTGTTTTTAAAATGGCACTATACAGTATGTTTGGTTCTGCAATGTTTTTTCTTCTTCTCATTAATACTATATGTCTTGGTGTTCTTTCTGTCTCCGTATAGACAGACTTGTTTCATTCTTTTTAACTGCTGCCTAATTTTCCGGAAGATAGATGTACCAGGTTACTGAGCCATTCCCTACCGTTGGCCATTGGTTGTTTTCAATTTCAGAATTAGCAAAACTCTGCAATGACAGGGAATTACAAAATCTGTGCTGGTGTGTGCCTGCTTCTCTAGGATACATACCAAGAAGTGGAAATGCCGGGTCATAGAATGTGCATGGTATAAATTTTCATGGTGCCAAACTGCCCTTCAACTTAACTATACCAATTTACATACCTGTCAGCAGTATATGAAGGACCAGTTTTCCCACCAGCTTGCCAATATAAATAACTTTTTATCTTGTTTTCCCTGCATATATATTTTATCTCCTGGGCTTGGGGTTGAAAACCCTGAGAGCAGACCCATGATGACTTCATATTTGCATATCTTCCCGTATTCAGAGGTGTTTAGTAATTGGTGTTCAACAAGCATTTGTTGAAGCATCTCTAACCATGAGTTCTTTGCTCATCTCTGTGCAATACACACTTTTCAAAAAGCATATGCCAAGGACGCTTCGAACGTTGAGGCTATTAAGAATGAAAAACATTCTTAAGAAAGTTGGTCGAGTTTTTGCACACGCCTCCCTCTGAACAAGTTACAGACATCTTTCATTTAAAGTTGCCTCCTGCTTTGCTGGCAGGAGGCAGGGGAAACAGACCTGGTTTTCTCAGACAATAGATGGCAGGGTGTCCCACCCGCTGGGAAAGAGCAGACTAACGGCGCCTCGGAATGCCTGGGAACTAGACAGAAGACAGAGGATGAGGGAGTAAGGTCACAATCCTGAAACATTCTGCATCCCAGGAAATAAATTCTTTCATGGAGTTTCAAAAGAGAGGAAACTATTAATAACGTCTAAAGCATGGCAATAAATGGGTCCAGGTGAGGGGGAACTGTGAGAGGGTAGGAAAACGTGAAGAACTGGACATATTTTTAAAGGAAGTTTAGAGAGAGGAAAGAGAGGTTTTTAAAGGTGTGAATGTTTGTTTGTTTATACGATAATCTTGGCCTAAAACATTTCTAAAACTCCATGAGCTTGATTCCAAAGGACGGCACTCCGAACAGTACTTGGAAACACGAGTTTCCCAGGACGGTAAGAGGTCCCTTTCCATGAAATACAAACAAGTCGAGAATGATGAGTGGCTCAGTGTGTGTTTCACAAAGGAAGTGGTTCTAGATGAGAAACAACCTAAGCGAAGGCCTATTTCCTCTAGGAATGTTTCTTTTCCTCCCACCAGCGGCGCGGCCCAGCGAGGTACCACTGCATCTCACACACACACACATGCAGAAAGGGACGGTGGGCTGACGGCCGCTCGGACTCCTGCGGTCTGGGGGGGCCCTGCTTTGAATTCGGGGGGCTGTTCGGAGGCGGGGGACCTCACATCCCCAGGGCTGTTGGAGCACCAGGTCGGGCCTGCGAGGCGTCATGCCGCTGCACCCTGCAAACACACGTGGGCCCGCATTCTGGGGTCTCAGTCCATGTCCCCTCTCCCCTCCCCTTTCGGGGAGCTGTTTCCAATAAACCCCGGCAGGGACCAGCCGTACCAGCGCCTGGAAACTCCTGGAGGAGGGGCGCGGGGCTCTTTGGGGGCTCCGTGTCCTTTGGGCCATTGTTGTGCGGAACAAAGAGGGCAGGAGCGGAGGGCGCCCCCGCGAGGAGAGGCGGAGAAGACACCCCGGGCGCGATGTAGCGGCGGCGAGGCTGGCAGCGGGCGCTCCCGGAGCGCGGGCTGGGGGCCCCCCGGAGGCAGGCCGCTCCCCCCGCATCCCCCACCCGCGATCGCACCGCAGTCGCTTTACTTTCCCCCATTTCCTTATTATTATTATTCATCATTTTTTCATCTTTTCCCGCGCAAAGCCGGGCTCCGGGGCTGCCCCGGCGGGCCGCGCAGGGGCCGCCATTTCCCGGGGAAAGCGCGCCGCGCACCGGCACCGGGCGCCCCGGAAAGGGAACCGGAGGGGAGTGCCCGGCCCGAGCCCTCCTCCGCGCCGGCCGCCGGGCTCCGGGCTCCCGGCTCCGGCGTCCGCGCCCCCCGCGCCCCAGTGCCTCCCCGCCGCCCGGCGCCCCGCGCGCTTCCCATTGTCAGCCCGGCCCCGCGCCCTCCGAGGCCCCCGGCGCCCGCCCCTGCGGCTCCCGAGGCCCCTGCGCAGCCCCCCGCCCCGCGCCGGTCCCAGGGCGGCGGGGCACCTCCCCCCGCCTCCTCCCGCGCCCCAAACTCCGCATTCCCGGAGCCGCGCGCTCCCTCCGCGCCCGGGGCCTCCGCCGGCCCCGCATCCCGCCTCCGTCCGCCCGCGATGCCCCGTCCCCACCGGCCGCGGGCATCTCACCGCTTCTTCGCCGCCCCCATCCCCTTAGGTCCCAAGGAAGCGAGCTGGGCAGCTGGATGCGCACATTTTCCCGTTTGCGGGGAGCGCGGCCTCTCCCGGGTGCGCCCGCAGGGGCCGGGCGGCGGGGAGAGGCGGGCCGGGGGCTCCCCGGCCCCTGCCCTGCTCCCGCGGCCGGTTTTGTTCGCAGACCCCGGAGGAGCCCCCAGAACAATGATGCCACCGCCGCGGCGGGCTCACCTGGCGCTGCGCCCCTGCTCCGGGCCCGCTGGCCTCGGCGCGCCCTCCCCGCGCGCAGGTTCGGCCCGCGGCGCCGGTGCGGGCGGGCTCCGCGCCTTTCTCTCGGTTCCGCCGGTGCGTGTCAATGGCGGCAGCAGCCGTCCTCCGGGCCGCCGCGGAGAGCAGCGGGGGGAGGAGGCGGAGGGAGAAGGGATTGCTCCTGCTCCGCATAACCACCTCTAGGAGGAGTTGCTCTGCCTCATCCCCCGCCAGCCCAGGCGCCGCGGCGGGGCCAGGGCTCTGCGCGGGGCCGGATGGGCTATTGTCCTTGCGGGGCGTTAGCAGGCAGGGCGCGCGGCCTCGCTGTATGGACCCGCAGGTTCGGACCCGCTGGGTGCTCCGAGGGCCGCCGGCTCAGGCCAGGCTCTCCCCGGAGCTGTGGTCGCGATCCAGAGTCTGCAGGATCCACCTTGGGTGGAAGAAGGTGTGGGCGAGATCGTGGGCAGCTAGCTCTGGAGGAAAAGCCTGAGAAGATGAAAGCAAACAACTGCCACCTGCGATGGCCTGGTGTCCTTTAATCCTAATAAATGCATGAACGTATGTGTCCATCGCACAGGGCGGCCACAGCCCCAAGAACTGAGAATGCGAATCCATGCCTGTGGGCTTTTAAGAAAGTAAGACTGATTGAGAATCCAGCCTTGCAGAATATGTGGAGTGGCAGATGCATGTTATGGTGATTATAACTGCATGGACGTAATTTTTTTTTTTTAAATCCAGTTGCTTTACAGGCTGTTCACTTGTAATAGTTCAACTCCTACTAAGATGAACACAAGGCTATTGTCCTAAGAACCAATTTTTATTAAGTTTCTAGAAAATACATTTAAAATATATTTTATTGATTTTTTACAGAGAGGAAGGGAGAGGGATAGAGATCTAGAAACATCGATGAGAGAGAAACATTGATCAGCTGCCTCCTGCACTCCCCCCCCCCCCCATACTCTATCCACTGAGCCAAACCGGTTTAGGCTAGAAGACACATTTTTAAAATATATATTTTATTGATTTTGTACAGAGAGGAAGGGAGAGAGATAGCGAGTTAGAAACATCGACGAGAGAGAGTCATCGATCAGCTGCCTCTTGCACACCGGTTACTGGAGATGTGCCCACAACCAAGGTACATGCCCTTGACCGGAATCGAACCCGGGACCCTTCAGTCCCCAAGCCGACGCTCTATCCATTGAGCCAAACCGGTTTCGACAAGACACATTTTTGATGGCCGTGTGGTGGACAGCATCAAGGGTGGTGATGGGATTAGAGGTTGGTCTGTTTCTTCTGGAAGCCACTCTTCTTTGTACCCCGAGCTGTTGGCCAGGGCTCTAAAGCGAGAGGGGCGAGTCAAAGGGATTTAATTCCAGTGGGAAATGCTAACTTGCTATGGGCTAGCCACACTTCCTCCAATTTTTTTTTTTTTTCCTGAGGAAGGACTGAGAGGCAATATTTTAATTTTCCACAAAGGAGAAACCCACAATTCTCTAAGCATTGAGCGAATGTGTTTTAAAGCTTCTCCCATTTGGTAGTATTGTGTATATCTGCCCCTATACATTTATAAATGTTTAGGCAATGGGAAATCTTGGGGTGACTGAAAGCCTCCAGTTGCTTGAGTGGGAAGAACCCCAATGCTCACTGCCTTCTGGATTTATACCAGTCAGTCAGGGCTGTTGAGTATTTAGCAGATAGCACGTGCATTTTATTTTATTTTATTTAAAAAATATATATTTTTATTGATATTTTACAGAGAGGAAGGGAGAGAGATAGAGAGCTAGAAACGTAGATGAGAGAGAAACATTGACCAGCTGCCTCTTGCACACCCCCTACCGGGGATGTGCCCGCCCTTGACCAGAATCGAACCCAGGACCTTTCAGTTCCCAGACCAACGCTCTACCATTGAGCCAAGCCGGGTTTCGGCGACCAGGTGCATTTTATTTATTTTTATTTTTATTTTTATTTTATTTTATTTTTTTAAACTATATTTTTATTGATTTTACACAGAGAGGAATTGAGAGGGACAGAGAGTTAGAAACGTCGATGAGAGAGAAACATCGACCAGCTGCCTCTTGCACACCCCCCACTGGGGATGTGCCCGCAACCAAGGTACATGCCCTTGACCGGAATCGAACCCGGGACCTTTCAGTCCGCAGGCCGACGCTCTATCTACTGAGCCAAACCGGTCCCGGCGACCAGTTGCATTTTAAACAAGTGTTTGGGAAGTCAGCTGACTCACCCAAAGATCCTGGATGTATCATGAAGGTATAAGTAAACCTCTCACTGTTTAAATCTCGTATGGTTTCTCAAACCCACCTGGACTCAGCGGTCTCAGTTTAGTGAGGTTCCCTGCACTCTTCTTCCTACCTTTTTACCCTCTCTCTTCCTCTCTGTCTTTGTCTTTGACCTGGTACCCTCTAGGTCAGAAATCTAGTTGGGATGAAGCCCTCTTTGCCCAACCAAGACTTACATTTAAAGGGTTTCAAATGATCCCCTGGACATCTCATACTGCTTTCAATGTCCTCTTCCAATAGGAAGCCTTACCCCCTTCTTATAGAGATTTCCGGTGTCCATTCTTGATCAGCATTAGCCTCTAGGCCAACATTCAGGAGCCTTCTGGGAGTGCTGGAAAAATGACCCAATCAGCGAGGCTGACTGAGATATGGTTTAATAATTTATCAATATATATTAGATTCACATTCTCCCTGCAACTTCCCAATGGTCATTTTTATGTGCATATTATGTATCTCGTTTCATCCTAGCATTTTGTTTAGTGCTGTTCTGAGGAAAGCAGGGTCAGGATTCTCCCATGTCCTACAGGTTAGTTTCTTCAAATAGGTGATAGAGTTACAACTCAGAGAATCAAGGAGAATGTCAGCTTCATGATCCTCTGGTTCTTAGAAGGGGTCACCAAGTTCAAGTGCTCTATGTTATAGGGAGAGGTCTGGTGTTCAGGTGAGTGAAGAGACTTCACCCAAGGCCATGTGGGTAATTAGTGGCAGAGACTCTGATGCATTTCCATATACCCAGCTAATGTCATTTCCACCAATTCCAAACTTCTCAGGATGTACATGGGAAAAATAGGCAACCTAATATGCAGCTAGTTAAATTATAGCTATTTAATAATGAACATTTAATACATGAACCTAATTTAATACAAATAATAAAGTGTAGTTAAAATACATTGAAAATAGTCAACATGACTATTGACTCATCAGTAGTCTTGAGTTTTGCTGTGGCTTCCAGCTCAGGGGACCTCTAACAAGGTGAATAATTGTGATAATAAGAATTCACACGTATTGAATACTTACCATGTGCCCTGAGCTTTCCCCTTACCAACTCATTTAATCCTTCCCACGACTCTAGGGGATGGGCGCTATTTTCTTCCTTTTGCAGATGGAGAAACAGGTAGAGAACAGATGAGAAACGTGCTCACAGTTACAGAGCTAGGAAGTGGCAGGTTTGTGCTCTTAAGCCCTGCCTTAGTCCGGTGGTATGAATGTGTTTATTCTGTCTAAACAAAGGAATTTTGTGATTAGTCACATTATTGAACCATTACATGTACATACCCTTGGACCTTTCCCAATACATATCCTCAAGCAGTCAGCAGAAAGCCTAATTATAGGATGTTTGCTTGATTACTGTTGCACTGAAAATAATTCCTTAACCTTTGACCTGTATGTGTGCATAATATTATGAATAAATGTATTGATTGTGTGTTGACTCCATTAGTGACCTAGATGTCTAGTGAACATTTTATTGGGATGCAGGATGGACTTCTCCACTTAGAGACAGGCATGTGGCATGATTTGGATACTGAACAAGTTAATCAAACATGCAACTATATTCATAGTCTATTAAGTCTACTAGTAATTCATCTACAAAACCACCTATTTAAAAAATAGCTTCATGATTTTTTTGTCCCCCCCAAACCTTTTATTTCTCATGATCCAAATTTATGATGTGTGAGGTGAGTGGGTTTTGATTTTCCATGATTAGTCCCAATGACTTTTATGTAATTTGTGACACCTATTATAATTTGTGATCCTTTTACCCTTCTGGAGTCCTGTTATACAATCACCCTATTAATTTCCTGGCCCTGGGCTCTTCCAGAAAGACTCTGTCATGTGGGTAGGCATTGATATCTGACATCTGTGGATATGATTTACATATCCAGATTCGTTTTGTGTGAGGTTTCTCATCTCCTTTGAAGTAACCTGAGATTTCCTGGGAGTATTATGAAAGCAGATGGGGATCATTGGCTTAAACGCTCCTTTGAATGTAAGAATCAAGGAGACTGTCAGCTTCATGATCCTGTTGTTCTTAGAAGGGCTCACAGAGTTCAAAGGCTTCATGTTGTGGGGAGAGGTCTCGGGTTCAGGTGGGTGCAGGGACTCACCGAGGCCACGTGGGAGAAACTCTGGTGCATTCCCACATGCCCAGCTCATGTCGTTTCCACCAGCTCCAAACAGGCAATTCCAGACGTCATATTAATTCCATCAAGGCACCAACTGGCACAACTCTAGATGGCAAGTTGGGGCCCTGAGGTTAGCATGCAGACAGAGCACCAAGCTAAATGGTACCCTTAAAAAAATTAAAAAAAAATGTGTGTGTGTGTGTATATATATATATATATATATATATATATATATATATATATAATTTTTTACAGAGAGGAATAGAGAATTAGAAACATCGATGAGAGAGAATCATCGATCAGCTGCCTCTTGCACACCCCTTACTGGGGATGTGCCCACAACCAAGGTACATGCCCTTGACGGGATTCGAACCTGGAACCCTTCAGACCGCAGGCCGACGCTCTATCCATTGAGCCAAACCGGTTTCTGCTAAATGGTACCCTTTTATTCTAAGACATAAATACAGCTTTAAAATGTACTGTATAGCCGGGAAATACTAGGCAATCTGACTTAACATTTTTATTAGTTAGAAATATGCAAAGTCTTTTCTGACCTGAAGATATGCTTTTTTTTCTTTTTACTGGGAGAGAGAGAGAGAGAGAGAGAGAGAGAGAGAGAGAGAGAGAGAGAACATTGATGTGAAAAAGAAACATTGATCTGCTGCCTCCCATACATGCCCCAAAGGGGGGTGGAAACCTGCAGCATAACCCAAAACCTGGGTATGTGCCATGACCAGGAATCGAACCCACAACCCTTTGGTGCACTGGACGAAGCTCCAACCTACTGAGCTACACGGGCCAGGGCTCCTGCTGTTATATTTTAAATATCGAACACGATTAACGCTAAACATTTATTTCCATGATCAGAAC